GTCAATCACGTGATTGTTTATGCAAATTACTCATCCACACATTGATTTCGAACTATTTGGGAAAATATTTTATTGCTCACAAATGTATTCATAGGAGTTTGTTTTTGGAGCAGCTAGCCAGCTTTGATAAGAACCAAGCTCAAAAGAACAGAATTAAAAGAGAGGGAGGAACGGAAAACAACCGTCATGTTATACATCAGACGTAATCAAGACTTAAAACTGTAAGAACTAACAGTTGGCGACGAAACTTCTTATCATATGGTAATTTAAGTCTGTGAGCGCTAGAATACTCACATCTACGACGTTCTTCGTAGTAGAAGCTGCAGATACATCAATCAAGTCAATCAAATCACGTCGTTTCAAACTATCGAAGAAGCACATCTGAAAATTGGTCATTCTTGCTCACATTTTCCGCAACACTTACTTTCCACTGTTTGTTGAGCTTGGCCCAGTAGGAACACGGGTTAGAGCTGGTTCTCCTTCAGTACTATGACAGTTAGCAAAAGTAGAGGGCGACTGCCTAGGATTTGCAGTTCAGGCTGTGTTGCCCAGGCTAGTGATTAGGACATCAACTTTTTTAAGTAGGACTAACGGGAACAGAGCCAACTGAAAGTAGGAACATGAACACGACATGGAAACTTGAAAAGCCTACGTTCAAAGAGGATGCACACAAACAGCAGAAGCATTCTTGGATTAATGCCAAAATATCACATTCTACGTCTGGAAGAGAAGAACAACGATATCTTAATTAACTTCACAACCGCTTTTCATGCTTCACATCATTGAAATAACACATGTCATATATTAACACGTCAATCACGTGATTGTTTATGCAAATTACTTATTCACAGACTGATTTCGAACAATTTAAAAAAAAAATTTATTGCTCATCGAAGCTGGGTGGATTAAAATCCATTCAAATATCCCATTCTCATTTTTTGGTCCGGGTTGTCAATAAAACTCCACATCTTTAATGATAAATGAGTAGTTACATATTCTAATTGGAAAAATGAAACGGTTGAGGAGTTCTGGGCTTGAAGGGCAAAGATCTCAATTTATAATCCTCACCGTTTGCAAACCATCAACATCGGTAAGAACTGTATTATCAATTATATCGATAATTTCTTGCCATAGAGAGTAGGGACACATCTGAGATTTATGCTCATAAAGAGCAGAGCGTTGGCACGAACCATATATTTCGCTGAGTGGGACTAAAATAATAAATATCACTTTACAATAACTGAACGAGCGACCACTTCTGGTCAAAACACTTTCATCACTATTTTCAATATTGTCAATAGGTTCGAGAGCAGAAACTATATAAATACCTGAGTTCTGCATTTCTCTCTGAGCAAGCACTGAAGCAGAAACAGCTGAAAACGAATAACTATCATTATAACCAGGAGAAGCTAACTTCCTAAAAGGATACAGAACAAGGTAGTTGGTAACATTGTAGCAGTAAGTTGTATGTTGGCCGTTTCAAACCTATCACAGTTTAGACTGAACAGAACCACAATCGCTTGCTGTGTTTCACATCATTGAAATAACACATGTCATGTATTTACACGTCAATCACGTGATTGTTTATGCAAATTACTCATCCACACATTGATTTCGAACAATTTGGGAAAATATTTTATTGCTTATCAAAGCGATTGTTGATTTGGATAATTCCTGATCTATGAACATATTTACGACTTCAAGTCGGGACAATAACGAACACTCGAGCAGGGTGATTGTTCACAAATGTATTCATAGGCGTTTCTACAGCTGCTCTGCTGCCACTTCCCAGTATTCAAGCTCAAGACCGCGCATCCACCATCATCAGAGTTTGTTGTTGGAGCTGCAAGCCAGTTTTGATAAGAACCAAGCTTAAAAGAAGAAAGTTAAAACAGAGGGAGAAACAGAAAACGACCGTCGTGCCATCATCCCATGTCCATACACCAGACTTCAAACTAAGACCGAGGTACTGCGCTGTCAAAGTTACTACAATGATGAAGTAGTAGAAAAGACATAGATCTGAAGAAACTAACAGTTGGAGACGAAACTGTTTTTCTCTTGCGTCTTCGCCACCACGAGATGTGAATTTCCGTAATTACGATCACAATTACGCTCAGCGAGTGCATAGCTTGATTCGAGGTCCACAGGATAGTCGCAGCCTTAAAGAATAAGAAAACTGATTACACTACTGGAAATACCTTGGGTTGGAAGCCGTCTTATACCTTCCGGTAAATAGACGTAGTTGATCTTACAGAAACAATTAGCTATAATTCATATAGAGAACGAGGAAAGTTCATCAAAACGTACCGTCACATTGTGCTTGTAACATGTCCGGTATCGAGCTGTTTCTGGAGTAAAAATAATACCCAGGCGATGCCAAGTCGGGCAAATGTTTGGTGTCAGTACCCACGCTTTCATAATAGTCTTAAATTTTGAAGTTATATAAACGTGCAGTATGAAACCTAAAACAATGGAGATTCCTCCATCAGCGTGAAAATCGTTCATTACAACTTGAGGAGCTCGAGTGCCAAGAGGACTGCAATAGTTCTATGAGAATAATCAATAAATTATTAATTTTACTCATAAGTTGACGCGATCAATACAATAACTTTTCGGCTTGAAAGTCTATCTTTTTGTTTCTCGAATTCTGCAACAGCCAATTGAATTGCCCTGTACAGTAATGATTAAGTGAAAGATCAGGCATGAGAGCTAACCCTTCAAGATCTGGTTCATCAGTTGTATCCATAAATGGTATATCAAGATTGAGAACATCTGTGTTATTAATCGTTCCTAAACCAGCGATAAGTTTCGCTGTTTTTGAATAAACAATCAATCCCATTCTCATAAAGTAATTCTGGAAGCGATGCTTAGAAATGGTAGAATTGCAATATCTCACGCTTCCTGTGTACCCGGATTTTTGAATGTTAAAGAACTGGCTCACAGTTTCGACGTATGAAATCATCTGAACAAAAATTATTTGAAACTCATATACAGACCTACATCTTCAAATCCATTCTTCCGAGTTCCTTCAGAAGATTCCACCAAGTAAATAACGTCATTCCAAATTTGCTGAACTTCACACCGAAAAAAAAAGATATGAGCTGCGAGATTATGTCTTACTGGCAATATCCTGTTGAATGTGTTCCATCACCTCCTCCATGAGTTGGAGAAGCAGGAGTTGGTTTTTTTGTAGGAGCATTAGTGATTGGTTTAATAGGCTTCGTAGTGGCCACACGCGTTGTAGGTGGCGTTGTAGGCGGCGTTGCAGGTGCCGCAGTTGTCATAGCTGGAGTTACTCGTGGAGTAGTGAAAATGGCTGTGGAAGCCATGGCGTCACCTGAGAGAGAGACAGATTAAAAGGAAAGAAAAAAAGAAGAAACTTAACATTTCTTCAAATATCCACACATAAGAGCTCTCATACATACGTGAAAATCCGTATTCTGATAGGTTAAATCAAAGAAAGAATAGACATAACTAGCTGGAAAATTCTGAAAAACAGGTTGAAATGAGAAATCAACAGGGAGTGTATGAACCATGCTTTGAAGAAGATTTGTGTTATTGAAAGCAATAACATTGAACTGAGCATCTGGTAAGCGCTTGGTGATGAATGAAGCACTGGCCTTGATGTCATCAACATTTCTGAATTAGATCTAAGTAGGCTTCAGAGTAAGCTCAACAAACGTGGTTGCTGTGAAAAGGAAGACAGGGTAGGGCGAGCCATCATACAACTTATGATCATCTTCGTCATAGTATACAACTTCATAAATCTTGAGAGCTCTGGAACGAAGATAGGATTTTCAAGAAAAGTCAATGACAGGCATACTTCAGTAATGTGACAGCATACGTCCCTTGACTGATGAACGAATTTTGAAGTGTATCCAGCATTATACAGGCTTCCGTCACATTCGAAGTGTAAGGATCAGTACTGGTATCACCAGTTCCATACGTCATCAAAGCTACCTAATTTGTTTTTTCTTATTCCTCGTCCGAAACAATCAACTTACAGAAACATTGTATGACGGTAGATACGGGAAAATATTTCTCCGCACGTATTCGAATTGCTATGCGAGTCTGTTTGCTTTCTAATTTCTATAATGAGAAACCTGGGTAATGAAGTCAACAGGAAGATCACTGCTGGTATCAATGATGAAGACAGCGCCTCCAGGCAACACACATGCGTCTCCTGTCTCCTTGGGACAGTAGTAGGAAGCTAAAGTTTATTTTACCGTGCGTATGAGAAGAATGCCTACCGTAACCCAAAAAAGGAAGGAGAAGAGCAATGTAAATTCGATTGACTAACATACCGTTTCGAACTCTCACACGAGAAAGAACGATATTTTATCAAATTTAAAAGAAAAATTGATAAGCCTATTAACTTTTATTTTGTAGTTCTTCCTTTTATCTTTGTGCGATAAATGAACCAAATCGAACAAAGGGAATTCATGAAAGCAAGGGATGACCATTTTTGAAAACGTCAATGACACCTCACTTGAATGGTATAAACGTTTTCAGATTTTTTTCATACATTTCACTTCAGTATTCCTACTAAGTTGCTTATTCTACTTCGTAAAATTTACAAGTTGTTCTGATGAACCGTATCTCGGTCCAACCTGTGGCACGTATGACAGCTTTTTGGTCAAATCCTCATCGAACTTTTAGGTGCAACCCCTCTTACGTCTATAATGACGTTGTTTATCTAATTGAAGCATCAGAAGCTACTCAAGGTCATGATATTGGTGATGTAACACTTCTTGAATTGAAAGAGCTTAACTCACCTTGTAGATGTGGGCTTTCATCCTAACAGTCAGCGAACACTTCAACATTCAATACCGAAACTATACAGATAGCGTAAAGATCTCTTGTAACAGATTAATATCCGATCATTGTGTCTTAGAACTTCATGCAAAATGGAATAATCGTTTATTCTGATCAGGTTCAAACAGTAGCTCCTTTGGGAAGTATCACATACCCCGACATGCTTCAGCTACAAATTCCCTTTTTGGGTGGAGGAAGAGCACAAGCAAATCTAACACGGTATGACGAAGTTTGATTCAACATATTGACTTTTTTCGATAATTTTTCGATAAGATATGAAATCATTTTAGAGCGATAACAGATGCTTCTGCACAGTTTTCTTCATATGGCCGGCGTAACTCACGCAGAATTATCGTCATAATGGCGATAACGTATAAGTTGGATATAGACTAAAGAATATTTTCAAACCAAAAGTTATTTTTAGTAGTGGAGGCGAATATTCTCCTTTGAAAGTCAGCACAACATTTAAAGAGAATGGGGGAATTATCATGGCTTACAGTATCTCAAGAGAGTTCTAATCATTTGTACGTAACTTGTTAAGGCTATGTTCCAACCGAAACGGCACCTAACGAACAGATCAAACAGCTAGCTTCTTCTGGATATTTCTTTTCATCTCTCAACTCTTCGGTCGAAGATTTAGTTGAAGCTCAGTGTGATGGTAGTAGCTTTATGGAAAACCATAATATATTTGATCTTCAGCTAACTGCTTTTGTCCTAATAACTTCAAATCGTTTATTAGTTCCACTCGAAACACTCCTCTACACGGTAAGACTGAGCAGAAAGCGAAACAAATACTTTTTTAAGGATGTTATTATGCTGTCGACTTACCTTCTAACTATCCATTAGCCAACTCAAACTGTAAAAGGAACTATGATGATGGTTACATAGCATCGGTACAGTCACTGGAAAAACAAATGTTTCTGCGGAACCGTGAGTATCTCGATTCGTTTTTTGAAAACTGAAAAGTGAAAACAGAGACTTTGGGACAGACGGTTCTTATTGGTTTGCATAATCTTAATGGCACATGGGTATGGTCAGATAACCAACAGGTGATAAGAGATATAATTCAAATATTCAATCCTTAGTTATATATAGTTAGGAGATTATCATCCTTGGGTCTACGAACCTGAACCTTCTCAGTATACTTGTATCCCGGAGAATGAAAACAATTGGATGCCAATAGACAGGAAAGAAGGATTTTGGTATGTATGCGAAACAAAACCTTGTGGATGTAACAATTACTGCGGTGATGTAATTCTCTCCTTTGATATACACACTTAATATGAGTGCATATGAAGACATTCCACCCGAACACAACAGAAAGCATAGATAAAGAAGTTTAATACTACCGCCGGATCAAAAAAACTCGAAAGTTGCATTTCCTGGTGACATGGCTTATCACTGGCAGTTTTTTTCGGAAGGAGAAAGTAATAATGACGAACACACATTGAACGTATCCGGGCCATATGTGATATATGTCTCCTAATAGCACATAACTCGCGGTGTCAAGCAATAGAGATACTCTTATAAGAATGTGCACTGAACTGGTATGGGTCGGTATAGGTAAACGGGTATAAGTAGTTATTACATTATTTATCAATTCCAATTAATTATAGTCACAGAATGACCTATAGCTTCCAACTTAGCTTTAGACCGAATCACAATACTTATTAGCGGAACAAGGGCTCGATTCACAGACGTACCAATAGCCGTTTCGATTGTTTGTTAAATCCCAATAACCGTTGTTGACAATGACCATATCAGAAGAGGAAGGAGGTCCACTTCTGTATGGATGATAGGATCCCAACTAAAACAAAGGAATATCATAACTGAGATTGGAAGAGTCTCTTACATTTGATCCATCACTCCATTGGAGGACACCATTCTTGTTCTCTAATCCGATGATGTAGATAGAGTTGTTTGTGACTGTAATGATAGGCATAGCTTCAAAGGTACTTAACTAGCTCCTACTTGAAGTTAAGAAGTTTTGCTTGTCAGCAGTTTGAACTGAGGCTATGTAACCGTTGTTATAATTTTTCAAACAATTTCTGTTTCCGATCATGAAAGAACTAGGTAAATCGACGGGGTAGTAGCATCCTGAAAAAAGAATATTGCACAGGTAGCATGAAGTGATTTATTACCAGAAACAGGAGTGCCGCGAGCGGAGTTTCCATAAGCAAGGTAGTTCTGCAGACAGAAGCAGTTGGCTGAAAACATTTATAATCGGTATCGCTACTAGACAAGTAGACTACCATCACATTGTGCTTGGAGTACATCGTCGATTCCGTTATCGTGATTGTTCAAGAAATAGTTGGGTGAAGCAAGAGTTCTGAGACCAGGATTGGGCTCTCCAACAGATGGTGTGTACTCTGACAAAGAAAGCTTTCAAGAACTAACGTTAATGGTTAACTCACCGAATGCTATAAGAATTCCACCGTTTGCTTTAAAAGTGTCAGCAACTTTCTGAGGAGCAGTAGTACCGGCGGGGCTGAAATTTGGAACAGAAATGTAATAATAGGAATATGAACTAACTTGTAATCAGGAGCAATGACGAACAGAACTTTACGAGAGTTAGGTCTGTGAGCGCTAGAATCGAACATCTCACTGGCTGTGGTAATGGCTCTGGAATAGAGCTCACAATGAGCATTGAAGGCAAATCAAGTCTTACTTCTCCAAATTAGTTCCTTTCAATCCTCCAGCCAAATATGGGATATCCAAATCAAACATATCATCGAAGCTTACACTTCCTAAGCCAGCCACTACTTTGACATCGTCAGAGTATGCGATAACTCCAACTCTCACGTACTACAAGATATGAGTGAGAGAAGAGAGAAGAACTGGGTTACCTGCAGATTATCAGTGTAAGAGCTACGTTGAACATTAAGAGATTCGCAGAACGAGAGGATGAATGACCACATCTTGAAAATAGGATTCAAACAAAATTTCAAAACAACACACTCACATCTCCGACATTCTTCGTAGTAGAAGCTGCGGATGCATCAATCAAAAAGATCACGTCGTTCCAAACTACCGAAGGAGTACAGCTAGAAATTGGCTATTCATGCTCACAGTTTCCGTAACACTTACTTTCCACAAGATGGTCCGACAGAAGCAGGAGCTGGAGTAGAAGGTACTACAGTACTTCCGTAGTAAGTTACTCCAGTAGTACTAAAGCTCTGGTAAGAAGAGGTTGTTTGGATGGCTCCAGACGTAGTGGGCCTGGCTGAGGTGGATGTGCTTGGAGTCCAGGTCATTGAATCATCAGTCTTCTGAACAGGAATGGCGGAAGAGAGCCCAACTGAAAGTAGAGAAATTCAAAAGACATGGAAATTTGAGAAACTCACGTCCAAGTAGGACACACAAGTAGCTAAGCAGAAGCATTTTAGGCCTAATGGCTTATCGACAAAAACTCTGACTTATGTATGTCGCTGGGTGACAAACGTTAAAATGATAACAGTCGTTGATAAACGAGATTCATCCATTTTCTTTAAAACTGTTTTCAATTAAAATTTGATTAACGTTGTATTAGAATCATAAGTGATATCACAAAACTAAATTATCAGTAGAAAGAAGCAGTTGATATCAATTCAAGACTGAAGGGTTTGAACTGTTGTAGGATAAACTAAACACAATACCTAATTGAGTGAACCATTCAGACTTTGATAAATAAACATATCAATTCAATGCCTAATCAGATTTAGCATATAATTAATACGGGTCTGGCATGAAGCGCGCTCCAATGCCAAAACGGCGCGAATATTATCTATTCAAAAACATAAGCATTGTATATAACGTCTTCTTTATGCGATTTTATGTATAGCTTCTAAATTTACATTTTACTATATTTCAGACATGGATCGAAGGAAATTTTCCGTTGGTAGGCAATCTCTATTAGCTTCACATACAAATCAGAAAACACCTACTCGGCAGAGATTTTCTGGTTTACAAACTCCGTTAACAGCTAAGTTCGTTCAGATTGAAATACCGATTTATATCTTAACTATAGAAGAGATGCTCGTTTTTCATTAGGTGCCGCTCCTGCTGCACGGCGGATGTCCGTTTTCAAGCAGCCTAATGCGATGCCCAGGGTTTCCAAATTCTTCATGGCTATAAGACCGTTTTATTTTCCAGGTGGACACAAGTGACAAGAAATACCAACAAGAAATGATCGCGAAGATTTATGATTTCATCGTAGAGCTAGACGGCGAGGTGTTTATTTTATTCGAATTCAATTGAACTGTGATTATTAAAGGAAGCTGTTACTATACAGCATATTGCAAAACCCACGCAGAAAGATTTCATAGGTTTTTTGGAAATGATCTATGAATGTTTAAGCGGAAATTACGAAGTTGGTGATCGTAAAATAGCTGAAGAGGTTTGTATGTAATTAGTTCTTCCCTTTCATAGTCTTCTCAAGATACCACGGTTGTTTTCCTGCATAGGTTATCCATATGCTATAAAGCCCAGTTACCTTCAACCTGTCGGCGCTTCTCATAATTGGCATTACTTACTACACGCATTATGCTGGCTTATTGATCAAGTCAAAGTAAGTTGTTACAATCATAATTTGTTTTCTATTCTTTGTCTTGAGATTTCCGCCAAACTCGAAGAAGTTGTTGGATCTCAAATTCTGCTCAGTGGAGATAACAGTAATGGGAACATAGGAGCTGTAAGTTTGTTTTTTTAAATTCCGTTATTCAACTTCGACGTATAGTTCCGTTATTCTTGGCTTCAAGATCATTTTAAAACTTGTCATCATAACAAACAACTCGGACTTCCCCAAGGAACATACGAAGGTAATTGAGATAGTTAAAACTCTGTTCAAAACTGTTCATAGAGGAGCATCAAAATTTAAAAGATTGGTTCCAAAACCAAGATGATATTGGCGGTCAATTAAAAGCGGCTGAAGCAGCCTTCAGTAATCTTCGGAAAGAGAACGCAGAACTGGAAAACGAGGTTTGAATAACTGTGCTCATGGATTCCATGTTGTCAACTTGAGAATGGGAACGAGGATAAGTACATAGATGATAACAAAAAACTCGAGGATGATATCCGCAAAGCGAAAGCGTATTGTGAAGCTATGGATCAAGCCACCAGAAATTCAGAAAAGGAGAAGGTATAAATCCTTCAATATTCTGTCTTTCCATTTAAAATTGTAGGAAAATGCCATATTCGATCTGGAAGAAGTGAAATCAGAAGTAGAAGGAATACGAGAGGCCCTACAAGAGAAGAAACGGATAATGAACGAACAAGAGCGAGGAGCCTTCGGCATCAGTGGTCCTGAAGCACGAGCGATGATGGCTGAATTCGATCAGGTGAGTTCGACCAAAGTAGAAGCAATTACATCTTTTTTTTAGAATCGGGTACTCATACGTGAGGTACAAAACGAGCTAGAAGCTTTGGGAAGAGAGCGATGGAACATCCAACCAAAAGAGTCGCAAGGATTTGCACATGTAATGTTTTTTTCACTTTTTCTTGCAATATTGAAGTTTGAAGCTCTTATCTCGTTATTCTCACTTGAGAGAATCAATCAGAAGCATAAGAAGCGAAGTCTTGGGTGATTCGTCTGTTAGTACAGACACTGCTAGAGATATAAGGTGAGCCTAGTCTTTCTAGACATGGAATAACAAAGTACTTTTTAAGAGAAGTACAGCAATTATTAAATAATCAGATACGTCCTCTTATCAACTCTACATATTCGGGCATCGAAGCCAAAAAATCGGAAATCCGTAATGAGATTGGAACTGTTAGACAGAAAATTAATTCTTTCGAGTGAGTTTGATATCAATTCGATACTTTTAAAGTTTTGATTAGCATCAGAATGCAAGTGGAGAATGAGAAACTTGCTGATAGCAAACGGATGCTAAAAAGAAACCAATTGAGTTATCAGCGTAAAACGGAGGACCAGTGCCATGAAAGACAAAATGTTGTCTCTAAAATAGGTGAGATTTGTATTTCATCAGCTAACGCAATAGCACGTTTTAGAAAATCTCGAAAATGAGAAAGAAATGCTCGAGCGTAATCAACGCGATATTACTAAAATGGAACAGGTGATTCAATGCTTTCTAGATTATTAACCGTCCTTGCAGGACCTTGAAATGGCGCGGAGAGATCTATATGATACAAAAGAAAAGATTAACGAAGGATTCCTGAGTTTTGAAGAGCACATTGCTTCCCAACTATCCGGTCCAGCCGAAATCATTGATAGAATGAGAGTGAGTTGTAAAACACTGAGACTTGATAAACTACTTCCTCATATCAGATTGTTGTTGTGGAGTCCGAGAAAACGATGGCCGAATTTCTTCATAACTTTTATAAAGTTCATAAAGAGCTCAGAACATAATTATATTTGTACTTGATGGATTCTCATTGTATATAATGCTAAGTTGTCCTATGAATGTATTAACCAGGCATTCTTGTAATAAATTCATAACTTAACTGTTGTCAACGGAGGTCTCTGAATTCTTAACGAAACTACCAAGAAACAAATGAAACTTCAATTCTATTGTGTTGCATGCAAAACGCTCTTGGCCGCTCTAAGGAGAGCAACTCCTCCAAAAATGCATCAGGTAAACTCTACAAATAACTGCAATTGAGTTACTTATTAGGAAAGTTGACCCATGGTGAGCGATTTCTCCCGGAGAAAAAACGTGATAGCAAAACTGAACAGAAAATCAAAGAGAGCTTGAAAGGAGATGGAAAATTCGACTTGTTAGCAGATTATAAGTTCCATTGAAGGCCATGTGTTTCAGATCCAACAACGTTTACAGCTCTTCCGGTTATAGTCAACGTTTGGCTGACTTGGGAGAAGATCCTTTGAGTTCTGTTCGCACTCTGCGAAGTTACTTGAAGAAACGTTCCGTTGAATGGAACTTAGAAGATAGACCTGTAGCCGTAATATCCTGAGTTCCCTAACAATGTGTAGAGAATCATCTTCTAGGAAACTTTATGTCGGTCTGCCTGTGAACAGCTGGACGAAGCTGAAGGTCATCTCATGAAACTTCACGGAAAGAGATCGGAGGCTATACTAATAGGTGAAGTCGCCTTAGCTGAGCAAATCAAAACAGAAATGGAAAAAGTAGTGTGAAACTATCATTTTTTCGGTTTAAACAATCCTTTACAGTACAAAGAAGAAGTCATCCGTTCTACTCTATCAGATCTGGTCATAGACTCTGCCGAGGTATGACGAGTGTTACGCTTTTCTTCGTAATATAATGAGTGTTTCAAAGATGAAAGCTTTCGGTGTTGACTCTGCTTGGACACCGGATCAAAGCTATTGTCCCCCGCCAAGTAACATAGCAACACCCGCAAAACGGTAGAGTTCTATTGAGCAAAAGTTTCAGCTCCGTTTTCTCCTCATTAGAAGAACAGAGCTCCAATTTTATTTTCGAAAGTTTCCAATTTATCCGATTGCAGTGATTCGAAACAAAAATCTGTCAAAGGTCCTCCATATCTGCAAAGATCTGAGAGGTTCAAGCCTAGAACTGCTGTTCTCCCTAAAAACACCGAGCAGTTCAGGAATTCAGACGATTCACCTCCCGATATGAGCGGAAAAAACTATGACGTACTCCCGCTCTTATGAAACTTTGCTTACGTAAACTTTTTAGCAGCATGAAGTTCGTCGGAATGATCGTCTATCGGATCTTATGAGTAACACTACATTCTTCAACGAGCCTCGTATAGATAATCCTTACGATATTCCAAGAGAGTCCATTCGACCAAGTGCACCTATCTACCCTTCTTATACCCCTAATACCAATCTGTAAGTATAAATGTATTTTATGTACCGAATAAAGATTCATACCTTGTTCAAAAATCATCGTGTATCCTTAGGTATGGCTACGACTCTTCTTCTTCTTTGATGTCAAGTAAACCTTCAGCAAATGGGTACGGTTTATTTCAGATAAAAAGGTAATGATCTGTTTTTTCAGTTCATGCTCCTATTGTGGATACACTGGATTTCATTTGATGTCACCTGAAGGTTTGAGAGATCATCATAAACGGGAATGCAAAATCATGAACTTATGTCGATTCTGTCAGAAAATAGTCCTGGTATAAAGAAATAGAAAATATGATTGTGAAAAACGAGCGTTGAGGTTCCCCAACTGACCGATCATCTTATCAATAGATGTTCATTCCTCCAAGATCGTATGACCAGATGCATAAAATGCAACTTGTCTGCCGATAAGATTGATCAAGACCTTGGTTTAAAACATCCCTTATGCAGAGGTAAGCTCAGGCAGAATTAAATAGTCAATTAATTCAGGAACACCACCTCCAAACGGAGCTGTCTGGTGCCCTTTATGCGCCATAGCAGTTACAGACAATCCAGAGGTACATACATATGGTATATCAACGCAGAAAACTGATTTTGTTCATTTAAGAGTTGGAGAGAACATCTTACATCGAAGTGTTATGTCAATCCTAGAAAAAATGGGCCGGAAAACATTCCGGAAAGATCTGACTTAGAAAACTCGCGGTTTGTTACTTGTTAGAAAGTTGGGAAAACAACTGAGAACTTCACAGAAACCAACAAACCAATTTGAATGGCAGGTTCATTGATGCCGATAAGTTAGTAGCGGCATTGCAGGTAACTAACCCACGAGATGAGTGACCCCCTTCTTTTATAGGAAGTGCAACGGAACAAGAAGAAAAAGAAGATGGAAGCTCTGGCACAAATAAGTGATAAGTAGTATGGCTGTTATCCGATGTGAACAAAGAAGAAGAAATAAATATTAACAAGATTTATTAGGATTTGATACTATAACTCTATATCGATATTATTACCACTACACAAATGAGCACGTCTTTAAGACGTCACCACCGGTAAGATAAAACACGGTATTTAAAAAAAACACTTACACTGAATATTTGGGGTGTGGCTTGGTTTGGTTGGATCACTATGTCACAAGTCAACAGATTGGGAGAGCAGAGAAAAAAAATTAAAAACGGATTCTCACAGAAGCACTCAACATGCAGATCTCCGTACAATACATTTACAAGCTTTAGGTTTTACAGGAAAATTCTTGTCCTAACATCCTAGGTATTCCAAATCCAATGAATCTTACACGGCAAAAATAAAAAGTGAAACATGAAAGTGAAAAATTATACTAACTTTGGTCCAATTAGGAAGTGCGATTACGTATTACTATAATCTTATATAATGTACAAAGTCATTGAGAATAGGGATATATAAGGGAATAAATATATGTAAAGATTCTAACCGAAAGTATAAGAGATGGATCTAAAAAGACTCATGCGTTCAGTATAAGCTAATCATTAACGACATAAGTAGGGTCATATCAAAGACTTAGAAGACGGAGGAAGAGGTTACCTCGTTAGGATTATTACTATTGTCAACACGGATGGTTTCAGACGTTTGGGTTTTGTTAACTGTACCTAAGGATGTGAGGCTGATATCCGATCCATCGGTGTTTTTCGAGGAAAGTTGAAGTTCAGAGAACTGATTGGTGATGTCCGACACGTATGCAGGCAATGTCTCTCCGTTAACCTTCTATGGAGAGAAAGTGTGATGATTAAATGTTAACCAAACATACCTTATTTTTTAAACGGCTTGGCGAACACTTATCAGAAGGTGGAGGCCGGATATAACGCATATGTTGCGGATTCTTGGAAGTGTTATTATTTCTATACTGACCATCAGGGCCTCTTTGACGCGATTCCAGTCTAACCGGAGTAGTGAAAGAACCTTAACTAATTGTTTACGAACGTTTCCCACAAAATGCTAACCTCCAGCAGTTGCATTTCCATTGGTGTTCACATTTTTGCCTGAAGCATTATTTTGGTCATTGAAGAGATTAATACGGCGTACAGCTGAAGGATGGCGAGGACCTTCAGATACACTAACATTCTGAAAATTAATTCTTTTCAAGCGCTTCAACTATATATACAAACCTCCTGAGAAGGAGTCATAGAATTATTGTTGGAAGCAACAACTGCAGCGTAGGGGCGTTGTGGTGGAGTATAGAAAACACTTTGTCCTTGCTGGGAAGGTTGTTCCTCATTTTGTTGCATATTATTATCTCCAGATGCCATGTTTTGATTGTAGAAAAAGTTTTGAGCCTGTGAAACAAGTATAAAAAATAATATATCTGTTTGTGACTTACTGTAGTCCCGTGAGGATTTGGATATCCAGTCGGTGGAGCACTGATTGGAGTCAACAATCCTTCGGGGGTGGCGGAATAATAAGGAGGATTCATCATAGGACGGAGGCTGTTATTAACCTGAAACAGAAAATTGATATGACGTTGATCTTGTATATACTTACGGGAGTCGATGGCTGAACTGGGACATAATAATAAGGCATGCATTGAGGCTGGGGAGGAGGTGCATTAGCAGTCTTCATGGGTGAAGAAGTATTAACCATTTCTCCATTTTCTGTGTTTTCTAAACATCATGCTCTTTCATTGCAGCCGGACACTTACGGATAGGTTGTTGGTGCATAGGAACGTTCATTTGATTTTCCTGTGTTGGCGAGCCACTAACAGTGTACATCATCGGATAGGCAGCAGGTATTTGATGAGAGGGAGTGTTAAAAACAAAATGAGGCTAAAAAACGAACAATCAGGCATTTCATTCAAGAAACTTCTAACCTGAGCCATCACATAGTGCTGCTGAGGTACTGGGTAACCATAACTTCCATATCCTCCGGACTGAACCAGCCCAGCTGGAGTGGCAATAGCATATTCTGACCCGGTTTTACTGAAAAACGTACAGTTTTTTGTGAACCCTGTCGACTGGTTGTACATTTTCCGGAGCGCTGGTCCTAAGTTCAGTTTTCTCCCCTTGAACATTAATTTCTCCGGATCCTAAAAATAAGAGTTACTGCACATACTAAAATGAATTCCTACCATTTCACGAACTGCATCTGCGTCTTCCTCTGTTTCAAGTGTCAAAAATCCATATCCTTTCGAAATTCCATCAGTAGCTCTAACAACCTTCGCTTCACGAATAAAAAAGTAAGGAGCAAAATGTTCTCGTAGTTCAGCCTCAGTAGTCTGCAAAATAGATAGTTCGATAATTCAGACAACTGACAGCGTACTTGTGGGGGGAAACCACCAACAAAAACTCTATTAGGAATCAATTCATATGCCGGAGGCAAAAATGAACCCATTTGAGGAACAAACGCAGGACTCATCATCCTAAAATTCGTAATTAAGACAAATGGCTTCTATCGAAGTTACTTACTTTGATACGACCAGATAAATATACAGAAAAGTAAGTAGAACAGAACAAAACTGAAATCAGCTGTATTAGAGAGCGTAAAAAGATGAAGCCGCAAGTCCCAAAACGGAATTTATATAAATGGGCGGCCAAAAAATTTTACCCTGAAAGTTAACTTTTCCGATCTACAAAAGCCGTTGATTGGCGGAAATAACAGGCGCGAACTGCACTTTTTGATCTACCATGGTGATTACATGACTGGCGCCAATTGATATCTCGTCACGAAATTATCAAGGGCGGGCTTATGAAACTTGGCACTCATCCATAATCTGGAGAGACGTTCAAAACGGTTGGCACTTATTCCACAAAGTGAAGGAACATAGACATATGAATGTTTATTTCAATAAGTATATATAAAAGGACCCGGATTTCAATTTTTTAAATATGTTTTACAAGCGAATGATTATATCTTCTTCTGAAGAAGATAATGAGTTGGAAAACTGCTCCTCGAACTGATACTGAAACACGTTTACGTCAAAAGGAAAAGATTTAGGAACTAACTGAATTATCCTTTGAAGATGAGGAAGCCTGGGATAATGTTCTCATTATTTCATAGCACTGTATAAGAAATATGTATACATGAGACAAGCTGACACATACCAGATAGTAATCCTTATTTCGGGATATGTGAGTTTTCATTGAGGTCTGCTCATTTTCATATTTTCTTTTATCTCTCTCTGTAGAAGCGATTCCCTCTTCCAACAAAGCAGAAGCTTCGCAGTATTCCATACTATCTGTGATGTTTCCCTGTTATGAGAAAAAGAGTTCGATGGATACGAGATACCTTCGCATTGCTCTTTCAGTTCATCCACCCAAGTGGCTAGTTGTTCCAGTTTTCGAAGAGGAGCTGGATGGAATGAGCGGTAACTGGCAAGCGAGTTCTCAAATCAAGATTTTTAACCTGGTCTTCGTAAATTCTATACTTTATAGCTCCGGATAAGTAATTTCAGAATTTGCATCGAGGTGCCCGATTTCTGTCCATTTTCGATGTGGTATAACTTCTCTAAGGCTTTGAGGCGATATTCAAACAGCTCATTCTTCTCTGATATCGACCGACCTGGCTCGACGGCTTCTTCAATATCTTTTGTTACTTTTAATTTTAAGCAATAAAAACCTAAAAATTGAATCCACCAGCATATGAATTTGAGTGCAGCTTCATCGTCATCAGTGCCCTCGACCATGGCCAAATATGAGTGATGAGCAAGAGTAATCAAAGGCCTTAAAATGATTGTTAGTTGTTGAGATTTGTCACTCTCTACATTTCAATGGGACCGTTTCGCTGAGCGTTTTCTACAATCCGCACACAACGTGAATAAATTTGTCGGTCAAAGGCTTGCGATGCCAACGAATAGTTTTCATCACCAAATAAGGAAGAATCGGCTATAAAGAAATGTGACTGTTTACCATTGTTAGTATATAAACATACAATGAATACTGCTCGTGGAGCTAGTAGAATGAGCGCTGTGTGGTGGTGTTAATAGTGAGTTGTTCATTGTCAATAGAGTGTTAGATGAAGGGTATTTGTGAGACATTTGTATATGGAGATCACGCAGTTTCTTGAAAGGTAATTGTTGTAATGAAACAATATGTTGGTTGTACCAATATGATGTCGTCTGCAGTTTCTTTCCAGTTTACACAATCTTCTAGTATTTCTGGTTCAACATTAGAAATTTCTTGGATGATAAATTCAAGTTCCAGTAGTCTATCCATCGTAGGTACTCCTGGTAAAAAGGCTAATAAGGAAATTGGAAGAGGCAAGTGAGGAAGACGAACAACGAAGAAGATAGATTGGAAAAGAAAGTTCGCTTATAATACAACTATGGTAATTATATGAATGGAGAACCAGACTGGAGGAATGATGGTGGTCGAAAAAAGCTTCAAATAAGTAAAGTTGATGATATATAGGAGATGATTCGGATAGAAATGCTATCAGTTATTGCTAAACCCAGTTTTGGATTAGGTTCAAGCAGATCTTCCATGAAAGCAAAACCGCAGGTCAAATAAAGCAATTTATCAAAAAGACGTTTTACACGAAACAAAAAAATGCTTGGAGGAGGAGAGAAGGCCTGAAGTGGCAGAGGTCCTTTTATATCGAAAGAGGACTGATGAATGACAATTTAAGAAAGTGTGAAGAGGTTAAAAGTGGATTCGTTTCTTCTAAACACTTGACGACATATTTTTAGATACTTATTTAATAGACTATGATAATTGGCTTTATATGGATATAAGTGAAATCACATAAACAATAATAGCAAATAGCTGAAAATGAAAAAAGTTGTAAGTAGGGCATCTGTCAACGCGCTAGAATAACAGTTTTTTTCAAAAAGACATCTCAATCATGATTATCGATAGCCTTATCAGAAGAACACAAAATTAACTTTCTTATTGTGTCATAATTGGAAAACGGGAATAGCAGAGCGAAAAAATCGTTGTATCATACTCAAAGGCCAGTTATAAATTATACGAAGATCAAAGAAAGAGGTTGTTTGTCCATATTTAGAAGAGTACCAAGGAAGCGTTTATTCCGGATAGTCGTCATTGAGCCAATTGAAAAGGTTAGAACAAACATTTCTCCGATCTTTCGAAAATTCTTTTCGATAAAATTAGTCATTGAATGAAATGAATAAGATTGAGCTATGAGTCTGCGGGTCGCGGTGTCCATGTTGAGAAAAAAAGCGTGTGAAGATGAAAGTCAACAAACGGAAGAAAGTCACAGCTTGTACTGTCAGACAGTCCAATCTCAAACTGTGACATAACTGGAGCTATCAGTTTCGTAGAATAATTAAGAAATGGGAAGATAGCAAACACACATAAGAGCGATAGAACAATGTAGCCACTCACACAGGACGTCACCCAGTGTTGGAACGTTGCGCCTGTGCCTTTCACCTATCCGCAAATTAATCCGATTATCAAAACATTAGGCCAGATTCACGACAGGTCTTGATACTCAAGTTTCAAAAATGAAACTAAAATACAAGATGAGAGGGATCAGAGTTGTTTTGCTGTTATCTAATAAAACATCGATAACAGTCGATTATAAACTCCATACGCTCTCGAACAAAGGGAGAAAGGATTTGATTGGTTGTAGTTCAAACACTGTTTTCAAACAGAAAAAAAACAAAAAAAGTTTCCAAATTCTGGACAAACGAGTATTGTTAGGAGGGAAAGCGTTATGGTTAAGATTAGAGGTCGGATTAAGACAATTTGGAATGATGCTTGTCTGAATGTGTTGTGACAGTCATCATTTATAAGAAAGAGAATTAGAACGAAGAAGTTTGAATTATATTCAAAAGATTTTACGATATAGCAGTCATATAAGCGTTCTCAAAGTTATTCTTTTACAAAAAATCATGAAGTGGAGAGTTACTTCAATGCTGAAAAGTGAAATTCTCATTGAGACGATAGGATGAAAAGGAAATTCGAAATCCTGATAAATGCTTGTTCATAAGCATTTTGACATGTCGCAACTATTTGGCGCTCTGTCGTCCAGCCTAGCAAGTTCTCATGCTTTCAGCTGTTCTTGATGGAGAACGTATATAAAAAGCGAACAACCGAATTACATTCTACATATATATTTATATATATATATTCTTTTTTGAAATCTCGTGAGAAGATTATATAGGCACAACCGGTCCATGCGTTTGCAGAAACAAAAATGAAACAATTAATAAAAATAGGCGCCAATTGTTCATTTTTGAACCGGATGAGCCGCTGTTCTAAATTAGCATAAATATATGAAAAGTTCTACAATTCTTCATGTCCTAATACGAGAGTTTCTTTACTTTGGAGATACTCAATAAAGGCAGCCTGAGTACGCCCCTGCCTATAGGTGTCTCTTAATTCGCCATAAAAATAGTATTTGAACGAGGGATATGCTCCGACCTTTTCCTTCTGGCACAATCGCTTCTATAACAGATAGTAAATTTAGAGATATCCTAAACTTAAATTATTACATGAATAGTGCAATCGACAGCTCCAATGAAAAACTGAGATTGTCTTTTCAAAACAGCTGCGATGTCCTGCCAGATAGGCTTAGTTGATTTGCAATGTCCACACCCTAACAAATCGAAATTTCAAATTATAATAAACAAATACTTGATGATGCAATATATTTGCTTAATAGGCTTCAAAAGACAAATTTGTGTTCTTTGTATCGTTCCTACATCGAAAGGACAGCAATTATCATAAACTTACATGGAGCATAGAACATGATGAATGAATGCTGTTTATCCTCAACTTGTTCCCAATTTTTTTCGTTCAAGAAATGAACATCTTTACTTTCCTTGCTCCAGTCCTCCATTACTGCAGGTGATTTTGAAGGGCTGTACAAGAAGCGAGTTATACTGGGATTTTTATAGAAATGAAAACTTTCTTATCCATCTCATGATTTGTTCTTCGAGTCGTTCTTTGATTTCTGACTTTACTTTTCCGTTCTTAAAATATTTAATCTTTGGATAGCCGTCGATGGAATATTTCTTCCTCGTTCTTTCATTCTTAAACATGAATCACGTAGAATGCGTAAACTCTGCGAGTATATCATACCTTTGATCCATCAATAGCAGCGATTACTATATCATGCCGTTCAGCATTCACTTTTCTAGCGACATTTTCAATCACAGGCTGGAGTTTTTTACAAAATCCACACCCTCAAATAAAAAGAGTGTACACTGTTGTAGACAGTTCAACAACTCACATGGAGCATGGAAGACTACCAGTACTTTAGAATGATCATCTATGAAGTCTTCGAAAGAATCTTCAGACAGATGATTGACCAAAGAGTCGGGTTGATTCTCCCAATGGTCTCTCGGATCACTTGAGTGTGCTTGTACATCAGAACGTTTCGGTTTTTTGATCCATTCAGCTATTGAATTCTAAATATAAAACATGAAATACGTCCTGAAGCCTTAAGCTGGAACCGCATCAAGTTTCCCCTCGTAGGCAAACATGTGAACTCCGTCTTCGAAATACTGCAGACTAGGATACTTTTTGATCTTAAACATTAGAAATCAGAGGGGTGGGAAGGTCTTAATGAACCTGATAAACTTTACCCATCGGAGCATTTAGTTTGTTCTTCATGTTTATAGCCGCGAATTGAAAGCGGTTTTCATACTTATCGGCCAGATCACTGGAAGACTATTAACGTTTTATTCAAACAAAAAACTTTTCCACTTCCAAATAGGGATTAATTTTCGGCAATCGGTATTATCAGGAGTATAGAAGAAGAAGAGGGTCTGTTTCTTTCCATTCAGACACTGAAATCATTTGGGTTTGTTTCAAATAAATACGATAACACCTTAATGAAGTCGTCCTCGGATTCAATCTGGACGACATTGTCAGCACCAAGCTGCTCTGACCAGGGGATTTCTTCTAGTGGATTCAGTAAGAATCTGGAACAGGAGCGACGATGCCTGTGATCAACTAGAACCCTACTTCTTCAAGCTGTCGACAGAGATCTCTCGATTATAATCCAAGTTGAAGACACCACGGCTAAAAAGCAAAAAGTCTGGAGAATTTAAACAGCAACAAACTAATAATGCCGAAGTACAAAAGGATTCGCTTTGACACCCATTTCTTCGCAAACTACATGGCCGTCTTGAGAGTCACAGTAGATGAATGCTAAAACAGACTCGGTCGGAAAACAGCCTACAAATTCCACATTACCCACAATAGCTGTTCCCTGAACTTCTTCAGCCAGATCAATTAAAGTGTTCCCTAAAGAGGCTTTTTCCAAATGATAGTAGACTAAGACATTATGCCTGGCTTTGAGCACTGACTGAAAAGGAGTTTCGACGATGTGATCACTTCTTCCTACCTCTAACTGTTCTACCGAAGTAACTCTAGCAACTTTAGGCTTCTTTTCTCCAAAACATAACGGAATATAAAGTAAGAACAGAAAAACTAAACGCATATTCACAATGATTTTCCAACCAATGTTTAGCAGCAATGAAAGTCAAACAAAGAACGTGGCAATGCCACACCATACATGGATATTTTGAATTTTTTATTTCGACCCGAAAATAAATTAATAAAATATTATAAAATGTATTTCAAATATATAACTTTATCAATTCTTCACCTACAGCAGCTGGTGTAAGTATTCCTAGGTCTGTGAAAAGCAGATTGATGTACTATAAACAGCATCACATTAGACATGTTCATTGAAGATATGATACCTGTGGAGAAGTATAATCTACCAACGGATGTTCTTCAGCTAAATCATTGTTCTCTAATACTGAGGTGCGATACTGAAAGATAATGTCATAAAGGACAGACTGCAGAATAGGAAACCTTGAATTCCTGGGGAATATCAGACTGGTTCAATGGATATTCCTTAACAAACTTGATGCTCTCCGCCATAACATATACAGGCTTATTCATAGTTTTGGCACAAACGGATAAGCTTAAGGTTCCAATCTGAAGAAGAGTCTATTGCCGTCGAAAATTCTTCTGAACTACTTTGTTGATGATGCCGCCAGTCTCCATGACTCCTTCAGCACCTACGACAACAATGTCAACACGTTCCATAATATAACTAAATTGGGTCAGTTAGATAATCAAGAGTGAGTCGAGAACAAACCCCACACAACTGTCTAAAATAAGTGTCGTTTTAATATTATACTTCTTCAATTCCTGGTGCATTTTAATACCAGATTGATCAGGTTGAGATTGAGTGACCTAAACATCTGAACTCTTGAAAAGATGGATAGAAAAACGCGACCAACCCAAACATGGTTATTGATGCCATGATTCTTAGCTTGGACTAAGGCTTCGAGGACAACTTTACTATAAGAGTGAGTCAGGATATTCTATAAACATTCTTTCCAATAAAGCAGTATACTGTCCATACACTGACCGTGTTCTTCATCAGAAAACCTTGGGAATAATTAGAAATTAAAGCACGGGATTTTCCAACCCTCTCAATGAAAGATCTCCCTCTTTCCTTGTAAAACTCTAATACTCGAGAAAAGTCCGGTTGATCGAGCAAATTAGCAGGAGCCAATGATATGAATCTGAAAAGATTTCATTGTCAGAGAACAGAAGGTACTTGTCACACCTTCTGAACAAATCACTTGCACTTCTGATAGACGTTGAACTATGATCAGTTTTCGCTAAAGCAGTAACGACTACATCTAGTTCGGAGTTTAACTCAGTTACAGTTGTTGCTTGAAAGGTAAATTACATTAAGATGTCGAAACGTGCTTGAATGATACCTTTACTGGCACATAATGCATTGTATAACGTTTCTATTGCTGCAGAAGCAGTGGACATGGAAGTGTTGCTTTCCAGTAGATTGCAGAAGTACTCAGCATAGTTGATTATAGGCGACATCTGAAAGTTTAATGATGAATTGAAGAAGCTTATGATGCAACAAGCATGATCAAGAACCTCAATTAGTTATACAAACGAAACTTTTGAATTAACAACAATGCGACCAACGTTTTACCATTCACGGCTGTTTCACCTCTACCTCCCAATTCGAAAGATTATATGATTTGCACTCATACGGGAAAATGTGTTAAATTGAAATCACAAATCATGAACACAGTGAGTGATTGAATTAGAAATATACTTCTCTTCCCATCGACTGAATATGGGATGAGAACGCTCGTGGTCATTCTCTGACAGGATTGGAAGAAGAAGAAGACAATCAAAGTCCACAATCATCAGCCCAAAGTGAACTTCATGGGAAGACATTACGTGCTGATTTTCTTTCAAAGTTTTGTTAGTTCTAGTAATCAGTGATTCCTGTCAGCAAGAAGACAACTTCGAAATAAGGAAATATTCAAATATAACAATTTCCAAATTGAATTTCGAACGAGTACTTTTTTTTTCTAAGACAAGGAATACGCCAAGTGCACACGAAAAACGCTAAGAAACACTCGGACGTTTCACAACTGGCGTACCTCTACCCCTTCTTAATGAACCCCACTTCTTGAAAATCAAATTTTTTGGAAGAAGTTAAAGTTCCATTCCCAATTGCTTCTCCAGAAACTCTTGTAATGAGTTTAGTTCATTTAGATATTTCTTTTTTTCCTCCAACACAATGGCTTACACACCCTTTGAGTAATCAAATCAGATATTCTTAGAAGTGAAACTCAGAATATAACGAATGTTTCTTTCAAATTATATTATCTTTGCAATAATTATGAAAGTTGTTAAGAGAAATTCCATATTGCCATCCTTCCGCAAGACAATCAATAGTCCGCAGGGCTCGCGATTTATCGCTTTTCTCCGTCTTCTTCTTTCTCATCTTCATCATCTTCTTTATCGTTACCCTTCATTTCATCATTCAATAATCTTTTTTCAGGAATAGTAATGACAGAAATAACTAAAGAGGAGAATGACAAGAAGGAATCACCTGTGGTCGATTCCACAGGAAGAACACTGAGGGATTACTTGAAAACTGAGTTTGGACCTAACACCATTGGAATCGAAGCAGGTATGTGGGATATATAAGGATTTTATACATTTTCTTTAGGAGCTGATGCACCAGTTATGCGTTTTCGACCACCATTTCAAAGGATTGCCAAGTATGACACCAAAGCTGATAGCCTTCAACTTGTTATCGACAATCTCACTCAAAGGTAGGCCCATTTTGCAATCAGTTTACAATTTTCGTATTAGACGTTTGCCCATCAATGTTGCATATGTTGTGGCTTTAAATTATATCAAGCAAAATGAAACTGAGTTTGAGATCGAAGATGTTCCATTCACGGAAGGAGGTTTATTTGCTACCGTAGTTCCCAAGCTAACCAGTTACAATTAGGTTCCGAAGCTGATCTACTTCGTGAGGGCGCTAATTGGGCGAAAAAGATTCTGGACGGAATAACGCCTTACTGCCAACAGATCATTCAAGGAACTGTTGATGTGGAAGGTATATTGGTTAGCTTGTTGAGCAGTTGAATTCTTCATTAGGATTACCCAAAAATTGGTGGAATTTGGCTATTTCCTCGACGACGGATAGAGGAAGAAGAAAGCAACAGGAAGATCGAATGGTCGTTTTGCCTTCTCTCCAATTTCATTTCCCTCACATCAAGGTTTCTTATATTGATTTTCGGTTATTGAATTCGCTTTCTAGGATTCAGTATCTCTTTTCGGAGTTTTTGATGGACATGGTGGTCCTTCAATTGCTACTTATGCCGCTGCTCATCTTCCTTTCGAAGTTGGATCTGCTTTAGAAAAGAGTCCTGAAGATCGTGGAGAAGCTTTGAAGTTGGCTATGGCTGGAATGGGTGAGTTATTCTCACCAAAAGCTTCGAACGCTTTCTGAGTTTTAGATAAACGAGTTGCGGCAAGATGTCAAGTGGAGCCATGGACTGGGCAAGGAAGTACAGCTGTCGTCTCACTTGTTGATGATAGCTTCATCCATATAAGGTTCTTTTGAGACTTTGTTATTGTAATTTTATTATTCTTCTTAAGATGGCTCGGTGATTCCAATGCTTATTTACTTACTAAAACGGGTGTAAAGCTTGTAACCGTGCCTCATACTCCTCGAGATAATGTCAGTGCGAGAAAGCTTTTGTTGAAATGACTTTTTTGGTTTCAGGATGAAGCTGAACGTATTAAAAACGCGGGTGGAGAACTTATTTTTGTTCAGGGTGAACTACGTGTAAATGGGGTGTTGAATCTGACAAGGGCCTTAGGTTTGGAGATTTTGATGCATTATGCTCATATCTTGCTTCTAGGCGATCTCTCGGGACGACCAGTCATCAGTGGAGATTCCGATGGAATTCAAATCAAGAGAGAGGATGATCAATACCTTCTTATGTTTGTTTGTGATGGCGTATGTGATGGTAACAAAGCGAGCGATTTTCATGAAATGGTGAAAGAATTTGTAAATCAAAATGTTGTTGAAGGTCAGTGTTGATCAGTTCGTATAGGATCATTGTGTTCATCTCAGATTATCATGACTTGGCGGAAGCTTTGGTTCGAAGTGCCATAGATAACGGAAGTAGCGATAATTGTACTTGTGTTATTGTCTTCTTGCGTTCTCCCAGTGATCTCTGGAAGCTTCTTTACAAGACTGAAAGCAACGAGGAGGAAGAGAAATTCGAATGAGTAGGCCTTTTAGAAGAAGAAGTTCTTCATTCTCTTTGTGTTTTCGTTCTCTGTTCTATCGATCAAATTATTTATATCAGAGCTTTTAGTTTGTTCACATTGTCGATATTTCCCTACTTAACACTCATATATTCTAATTAGAAACCTTCCAAAACACATCTATAACCATCCTCTTCCTTTTTGAAAAAGTATTTATTTTTAATAACAAATTCATCGATGGCTAAATCTCTCTTATTCTACTGATTGACAGATGGTTAGCGTAGTCAGACACCAAGGGTGTAGGACTGTTCCTCGAAAAGTTCATAGTTTTTAGATATTTTTACAGTTTGATATATATATATATATATATATATATAAATATATATATATGCTTATGTTCACTTTTGTTAAGTTTTCGTTCCTTTCGTTTTACTTCCCGTTACCTGTTGAGTACTAATCAACTGCTTTTTGGAAGTTAACTTATCCTTAATTTCTTGTGCATTTAGTCCCGTTCAGCATTTAGTGTATGCATTCATAACTCCCAATCAAGTTTCTCAATCTTATTAATAATATATATGTATATATATATATTACATTGTATTTCCTGCACGGAGTCTGTACCATTAATATATCTATGTGTCCATATCAGTATTTACGATTGGTTGACCCAGAGGATTTGTAGAACATAGATTTCAGTAACTTACGGCTATTTTGTAATGTATTCTGTGAGTTCTCGGTACGGATGTTTTCGTACTTGTCAGTTCTCATATCAAAGAACGAAGCAGGTTTTCATAAATATTTTATCAAACTATTGTGTTAATATGAAGCAAGATAGCTAATCGAAATAATCAATGCGTGATCCTGAAGTGAACTCGTTCGCCTTAAAATCAAGTCGTTAAGGCAGGACCAGGAAAGAAACATACCGTAAGTATTTCCATGAGTTTTCCGACTGTTTGACTAGTGGTCAGAGTTTGTCTATTTACATCAGTAGATGGCGCTTTTCTATCGAAGGCTGCTTTGATACCAGCATCATAAGTTCTGTAAGCACAACCTGTTTATATGATAAAGAATCAGATAGGTACGTTCACGTATTTCATGATACGTGAAAAGTACGATATTAGATAATCATTTTCGTATTTTACAGTCGTAAAGAGTGGTTGCATCACAGAAGTTTCCCTTACATCATATAGTGCACTTACGTATCATGAATATCAGTATGCATGTCAGTATCAACGGGCCCAGGAGAATAACTCAGAATTCGAAGATCTGACTCTTCGACAGCAAGAGATCGGAAGAAACCTTCTCTGGCAGCTTTGCCAACTCCATACTATATTAAATATGAGAGAGGAAATATATGTTCTACCCACCTGTCCCAAAGACGGGAAAGCTTGAATAGCTATAAGAGAAGTAATGTTGATGACATAACGGTTTTTGAACTTCTGAGAGGATCCCTGTTAGATGAGAAAAAATGAAGCGTCATATACCTTAGAGGATGCTTCTGCTAAAATTTTGTTGTTTAGCAGAATCATAGAGATGAGATTGCTGTTCAGATAGACTTGCCAACTAAAATTACTATTGCACTGGCAAATGATTAAGAAAAAAACTTTTCTTGATCCAAGATTTTGCTGCAAGGCACTGATGTATCACCAACAGAACCAGCGTTATGGAAAACGAAGAGGTTGTCGTAATCTCCTGGAAATAAGTGATATTCAGTAGTAGAAAAATATGAATACCTTCAAGCTTCGAAATAGTAGTTGCTAGATCATCCAAAGTTTTTTGCTGTAAATGGCCCAAATCGGTTACGAATTTCTCGACGATCATATTCCTGCAATATCGTCATTTCCATACTGTAGAGACAAACCTACTTGGCTTCTCCTTGACTCTTCAACTCGGTTAGGAGAGCTTCGTTTCGTGCTAGTACGAGGAAAACTATAACAGCATCATAAACAACTAAAAATTGAAGTTCTAAGTTACCTGACTGTTCTGAAACTTTTTCCAGCATGGAGTTGAAGATCTCTTTCCCGATTCCACGAGAAGCTCCGGATATGAATACAACACTCTTTCCCCAAGTCATTTTAATAATCTAAAAGCAAAAGTTATGAGAGAAACATCGAAGAATAGTTATGTTTCAACATGTTCTTTGATAATACAAATGGTATATCGAGAAACGATTGTTTTATCAAATGGTTTGATAAAAAAAAGCGATCAATACCAAATATGGAGTAAGAACCAGGGGAGTTCAACGGCAAATATTATGTTACACATAAATAATGCATAAATTATGATAAACAGAGTGGGACTGTTGAAGTAAGGCCTACCTGACCCCTTTTCTCAAAACACTAATGAAGAACAAAAAACAACCATTCTCTACGTTGCACTTGCATAAAAATGAAATATCGATTTTTCTGAGATAATTGCCAGCCAAGTAAATGATCGTCCGAGCAGTAAGGGTATTCTGTTCGGTTTGAATTTCCTCGGTAAATAAGACAAATATTCAAAGATCTAGATTTATTTATATTTACAATTTAATAATGTTAGCTATGATCAATGTTTCATTAGGTACAAACCTAAACTCTTTCCAGTAAAACTTTACACGTTAAGCCTAATAGATACGCTCCGTGATTTAATGAATACCATATCGTTTGACGCGGAGATAGGACATGAGGAACAGAATTCCTGTGATCAATGAAACAACCTGAAAAACACATTTCAACCATGAATTTCTATGAGATTTACTTACAGAGACAATGATTAATTTTCTCATCCATCCATCTCTACCGATGGTCATGGGTGGAGGAAGAGCATGGTGACGCGTTCTGTTGTTTTTCATCTGATACCAATCCCAGGCTAAGACAAGCACAGCCACAAAAGAAAGAACAGTTACAACAATGTTCCATACTTTTTCCTGAAGGATAATGATTGAGTAAGGATAACAATCTCAGATGATCCTTCAATTTTTATGTTCTGCGTTGGTCAAATTTGTTTATTGGACAGTCGCTCCCATCTGCCTACTCACTGAACATGTGGTCGACAGAGTTTACTCCACTACTCACATCGATTTGATCAGAGATAGCGAACTTATAGGTATAACACGATTCTATCCCTCAGTAAGAAAAAAGGAAACTCACAATCGTGAGCCAGGGAAGATTGTTGGAAGTCTTTGGCACTTCGAAATAGTGAAGAACGAGTGTTACGAAATCGCAAATAAGGAAAATGAATGAAAACAGGAAAATAATGTTGTAAGCTCGCCATTGTTGACGCCCATCTAAGAAAAAAACGATGATGAGCAGAAGACAGATCTAAAAGAAACATTTTTACTGAGATGGATCAGCGAAAACTTCACCATTTGGGACAATTTCAATACAGAAAAAGGTGAAAGAAGCCATCCTAGCGAACGAGCCATTGTGACACCGATTAAGCCAGCAGTGATGAACTGGGATGAGCTGCGCTTTCAATAGTCAGCTGTGGCACCGCCCATTAGATAAAGAAACATCAGATACTAGTGTAAGAACCTATGTTTTAATATATATGTTAGTATAACGGAATTAGCATGTTCCGTGTGAAAACGGATGTTCAAGATACTGTCTGTGTCAATATCAATCCAACCAAGTACGTACTTATTTTGCTCTAATCACGGCCTGAGCAAAGCGATTGGCTTCAACTTTTCGAAACTATGAAGATTTCTGAACAGTTGAAAGAACTAACCGCATTCAATATTGAATCTTCAACTTCTCGTTTTACCGATCTTGTTGTTGGGCAGTCAAAAAGCATATTCGAATGGATAGATGATCGTGTTGAAGAGAAGTCTGTTGAGCATATCTCTAATGCCATCACTTCTGCCTCTACTAATGTGAAGAGGAACAATGTGAGAAAAACCACGAGTGATTTCTATCAATTTCCGTGTTATTCCAGGTCCCAAGCCATTCCAACTTGCATAGCTCAGAACTGATGCGGATTCCGGGCACTTCTATTGATGATGATGGATGGCAAGTATGGTTTTGATAACAATTGATGTTTCTAGTTTAAATCTCATGTTAGAAAGTGGATCACTGAGAGCTAGCTGATATAGCTTTGAATCTAGAAAAAATTGCTTGGCGTTGGATGACTGAACAACAAAGACGTGTTCAAGAACTAACTGATTTCCCTTACATGGCGTGAATACTGTCAATATTGCTCAGAGCTCGCTCGAGTTCTTGATATGATGATCTGTAACATATTATTACCAACTCACCCCTCTTTCAAAAGGAAGCGTTGCAGGAATAATTTTGGACCGTGTCTTAGTCTGAACTACTAGTGTTCTAGCATGATTTTTCTATGTGACCTGAACTTACGTTTCTTGATCGACACCCCCTAACGGGATAATGATTACTGTGAGTTTGACATTAATGGAAATGTTCAAGGATATCTTTGTATTCGAAATTTACATGATTTCTTATAAAAAACAAAACGAAAATGAGTATTTACAGATTCACCCTTATTATTTTTTCTTGAAGAAGTCAGTTATTCCTTTCTTTGCTGGCGGTTCAGTATTGGTAACTTTCGCTGGTCTTTTTACAGAAGATTTAGCAGGAGGTTTAGTGGTCTCTTTCACTTTTCCTCGAGCAGCAGCTATAGCTTTGATTTCTCGCGCTTCAGCTATAGTTTTCCTGTGCTTCAGCTCCTGAATGATAACTTTACAGTTTTCGCTAATAAACTTCGCCAGAATATTCCAAAAAGTAAGAGCTCGAACAACATGGTAACGGTTGAACGGTGAGGTACGGTTGAACTTACATTCTTGATGAAATCAGGAAGTTCTTCAAGCACATCTTTGTCAACTACGAGATCATCGAACTCCAGAAGGTTTTCCTGAGGTTTACTAGATGTTACAGCTACATCAGTTAGCTTTGAGTAATCCACTTTCTAACATGAGATTTAAACTAGAAACATCAATTGTAATCAAAACCATACTTGCCATCCATCATCATCAACAGAACTGCCCGCAACCGCATCAGTAGCTGAACTTTGTGGGTTGGAAGGGGTGGGGATCTTCAATAACACGGAAATTGATAGAAGTCACTTGTGGTTTTTCTCACATTGTTCTTCTTTACATTAGCAGAGGTAGTTGCGGCAACACTGGAGCCAGCAGGTTCAATAGATTTCTCTTTAACCCGATCGTCTATCCACTCCAGTATGCTTTTTGACTGCCCAACAACACCTTCGGCGAAACGAGAAGCAGACAATCCAATATTGAACACAGGTGGTTCCCTTAACTACTAATAGCTGATAGAACACAATTAATGCTACCATTTATCTGAGTCGGGACCAGCTTTGTTCAAACTTTTTGCTGCGGTCCATACAATATTGTACAGAGTAGCCGGATTATAGCTGTTGATTTTCAGAGTTCTAGAACTACTTTGAGTAGTCAACAAGGAAAAAACAAGGTTTTCAGCGGTTCTTTTGTTCTAGACACAAGGATAGAAACATAGTATTACATTACTCTTGACTTACGGCTATTTGATCGGTGATTAACCGTTTCGATAATTCCTTAGTTAAACCATCCAACCATCTGAAGAAAACTTCATTTCACATTCCCATTCAGCACAGAAATACTTTTTCATCATCTCCACGCCCACTATAGCATTTTTGCCAGGAAAATTCTTGCTCACTGCAATGGACGACTGGCTGTTTCTAAGTTTTACCTGCAACCGAGAAGTGAACAAGGCACAACCGTTCTGCTCGTGTAATCATTTAGAAATGAGAAACATGTGAGCAGTTCAGTTCAAACTAACAGCTTCATCATCGTGACCTCGCGCTAACTGCCAAACCCAACGAGCTTGTCCCGGACAGTGTGACGCCAAAGCATCCATATCTACTCCCGCTAGTTCATACATTGTCTGTAAAGAGGTATTTCTGCAATTAAGTAGCAATCAAACCTTAATTTTGAAAAATTCGCAGAGGCCTAATCCTAACTTTCCACCGAGCATACGCACGTCAGTGACTTTAGTTTGCTTGAATACTTCAGATACGTTTTCCATACATACGATAGTTTGCTGCCTTGGCTTGTGTCTGGCACAAACCAACTTAGCTAACATCTGTGATGTGTAATTGTCTTCAGATTATAGAGTATCCAATACCTTGTTCGGACCAACTCCACCTGAGCAATAAAACTGCGTTTCTCGATGTATGCTTGCTCTGATTTTCTCAGTTAGATGAGCAGCAAATGCCATTTTAAGCTAGGAAACGGTTTATACCCCTTCGTCACCAATAATAATACTCACCTGTTCTTTATTGTGACGACAATATACATCTAACCATTCTTTCATTGTTTCCTCTCTGCTGTATTTCTTTCCATTTTCATCAAGACTGTCAGTATCTTTACCGTTAGCGAAATGGGTTGAAGGGAAGATACTGTCTAGATTGTTCAAATACTACAGAAAAGGTTATAGAATCTAGAAACTCCAGCTCACTTCATCTACAAGTTGTTCAGCTTCATTCAATTCACAAGCTTCCTCCACGTACTGTGTTAGATCTAAGAACGCTTCATCAACGGATGCTCTTTCAACGGTGATCCTAGGATCTACGTTGTTCAAAACATTGAAAACTTCCGCGCTGGCATCCCTGAATTAAGCTTGTGTACATCAAGTTTTGATAAGAAAAGCCAAACCTATATTTTTGGATATCGGCTTTGTCCATGTGTTCTCCTTGAGGGACAAAGCAAGTGCTGAGCTCTGGACATTTGACTTTAGCTTCATGAAGAGTCATGCCTCTTTTAACTCCAAACGCTCTGGCTTCATAGCTTACTGCCAATAGACTAAAGTTACATAAAATATTACAATCCAAAGATAACCAAATACCCTCCAGCAGCATTCCCACTCGCGTGTTGCACGACCACACAAGGCTTACCCCACAAGTGAGGGGCTTCCCTCTGTTCTACCTGGGCATAGAAGCAATCCATATCCAGAAGTGCCACAACTCTTGGCATCTGAACACATCAACGCTATTTAACCTTTAATTCATAGTTCCCAATAACTCGTCAAACGATTTTTGTGGTGTGAAAACATGATATGGAATACAACAATTTATTTTAACAAAACGGGCTTAGAAAAAGAAGCCGAGGAGCTTTCCTCCCAAATGCTTTCTTCTAGCTTCTTCGTGGTCCATAATTCCTCCGGAAGTGGTAAGGATCAAATATCCGAACTGACGAGATGGAAGCAAGCTGGTGGTGTATTTCTCCAAATCCTTAATACAGAAAGAGGTTAAGAACTGTTTTGAAAAAGATTAACAAACCTTAAGTCTAATGTCAAGACGTGGAGAAATGACAGAGCATTTGTTCAAACGACCAGTAAGGTTAACAACGATTTTACCAGCGCGATGATCATCAACAATTTCGAATTCTCCAATGTATCCGTGTTTCATCATAACGGTCAAGAAGCGAACGATGACCTAAAAAATGAGCAAAATAATGAATAAATCACGTACCAGACAACCAATGGTCCAGTCAAATTCATGAAATGAAATTTGAACTGACCAAGGGTGTCTATACGACCATCCTTTACCGCAGTTAAGGATATCGTAAAGAGCCTTGGCCAAGAAAGCCTTGGCGTTGCTCAGAAGCATTACTCTACCTTAGACGAGCAGACTCACAAAATTGAATTTTCAAAAAAATTACCTTCGATGATGGTCTGATGAGGACTTGTCTCTTTCCTCTCTTCTCAGCATTGTTGATGGCGTTAAGAGCATCGGCGAGAACATTCATGCGCACCATCTTCCCAAAGTTTTTGTCTGCAAACTCACAATACACTAATGAAATAGCCAAGCACAAAAACACAGAACCATAACAAGTTAAACTAAATACAATAAAACGCTAATCAGTCAAACAGCCATATTCTTTAGGTAGTACACACTTCGGGACACATATTTCGCTGACGAGTCTTTGTAAACATTGAATACTCAGTGTTCGCATTGGGGCGCGTCTCAAACATGAGCTGCAGAGTTTATGCTTGAACATGAAGTATAAAGCCATGAATTGGACTGTGATATGAATATTTGATAATATATGTATTATTAAGATGTATAGATAGTTAAGATGATTGAACATTGCAATAAATGATTTTGTGATAACTTTTACTGTTTTTTTACTCAAGTTGTTCATGAATTCGGCTGAGTTTGAACTGAACACAGATAAAGTGTTAGCCCCGAAAGGATTGTGTTAATTGGGCAATAACGTTTGATACCTTTTTCAAGGCTCTCTGTAAATTCCGGACGGAGTATAGAACAGTCAGAATACTTCTTAAGTTATATTCAATGCGTGAATATTGAAAATAAAGTTTTCCGCTGATTTCAAATTGGATTGGTATTGATAATAATGTTTTCCTGTGAGTTTGAAGAATATCATAAGCGTCCATTGAACTATTTCTTTGAAGAGACTTCAATACAATTCAAAATAAAAGAAACTGGAAAGATCTGTTACCTAATATCGCTTTCAATTAACGTTTGGACTGCTCATGAGGGTACGAAATCCATTCAATTATGCTTTCAAATCGTTCGATGTATCATTTATGTTAATCTTATCTCTAAGACATAGATTTTCTTTGAAAATACAACACAAATTTCGTTTTCTAATCAAGTTATTAACGTTTATTCTCGTTCGAAAGATAATTTGCAATGTTCAATTTCGCGCGCTTAACGCAATGTTCAATTTTGGCGCGTAAATAATTTTTCAATATAGTTGATTGTCTCGTATCGTTTCTGTTTTGATTTTCCATTTTCTGTATGCTTTTTCAACATTAATGATCGAACTCTTGCATATTCATTATATTCAGCTTCTTGTGATAACTAACTGTCTGATAACTCACGTTCAGGAATACAGAAACCCTCAAGATGTCTAACTTTGATGACCCTGGATTGTTCTACCAAGAGCGATATTTCGCCAACGATGGAGCTCCAGATGAGGGTCGAGAGTTGATAGCTGAGTATAAGCAGTTAACAGGGCAGTTCAGATCTTTTATCAGAGAGTTCTCTACTGGAGGTTTCGGCATGATTTATCGGTGAGTCATTATTGTAGTAAAAAAATGAAAAAGTTGATTTCTAGTGAGCAGTTAAAGAGAAACTATAATCTTGGAATATACCATCTTGAAATTAATTTGAATCATTTGAAAATGTTCGATGAAGCTGCTGAGTCTAAATTACGAAAAATGCCTGGCCGGTTTTTACCTGCTGTGAGTTGTGCTATAGCGTTTTCTTACTGTTAGTTTAGTTGGAAGATGCTGCCAAAACTGTCGCTGATGAGATCACTCAACCAAGACCTGAGGGACAAGAAGAAATGCAAGATATTCAGGTTAGATTTTGATGTGTTAGTAAGTCATCCATTGGCATCTCTTAAGGTTACTCTCACTCTCGATGAATATCCAACATGTATCAGAAAAGTTAAAAGTTCCCAAGTTGCTCAAGTTGTAAAAATTTCTGGAATCATTGTTGCTGCATCACAGGTATCTTTTGTGGCTGTGATGAAGAAAACATAAGTCTGTTCAGGTCAAATCAAAAGCTACTCGAGTCTCTTTGCAATGTAGAACATGCCGTCATTTGGTCAGTGATGTTTCTATTAAGCCTGGTTTGGACGGATTCCAGCTACCAAGAACTTGTGGAGCGTAAGTAATCGTAATATTGACATTGTTATCATTTGTTTCAGTCCTCAGAGTGGACAAATCCAAAAGTGCCCAATGGATCCTTATCACATTGTTCCGGATAAATGCAGATGTGTTGATTACCAAACACTGAAGCTCCAGGTAATATCGTATATTGTAGTATACGCTATAATACTTGCTTCAATAGGAAAGCCCTGAGGATGTACCTCATGGAGAGATGCCTAGACATCTTCAACTGTACAGTGATCGTTATCTCACCGATAAAGTCGCTCCTGGTAATCGAGTCACAATTGTAGGAGTTTTCTCTATCAAGAAGCTTTTTAACAAGACGGTGGGCATTTATTTACACATTTATGCATTGTTGATTGTCTATAATTAAGAAAGGAGACAAAACTCTCTCCGGAATTCGTACACCATATCTCAGAGTCTTGGGTATTAATGTAGAGATGAGTGGTCCAGGTAGAACCGATTTCAACCAGTTCACTCCAGAAGATGTCAGAAAGTTCCAGTAAGTTCTCTAAGTACAGTACTTTGACTAATATTTGGTACAGAGATGTTTCGAAGCGTAATGATGTATATGAACTCATTGCCAAGAGTATTGCTCCATCGATTTATGGTTCTGCTGATATTAAGAAGTCAATTTCTTGTCTCCTGTTTGGTGGATCAAGAAAGAGATTACCTGATGGCTTAACACGTCGTGGAGATATTAACGTTCTTTTACTTGGAGATCCCGGAACTGCCAAATCTCAGCTTCTGAAGTTTGTAGAACAGGTGAGTGTTTCCAAAACAATATTTCACTTTTTTAATTTGAAAGGTTTCTCCAATTGGAGTCTACACATCAGGAAAAGGATCTTCGGCTGCTGGTTTAACTGCTTCTGTCATCCGTGATCCTCAATCGGTTAGATGGATTTGTAAATTTTATAGACGTGATCATATTTTAGAGAAGTTTCATTATGGAAGGAGGCGCTATGGTTCTCGCTGATGGAGGAGTTGTATGTATTGATGAGTTCGATAAAATGCGAGAAGATGATCGTGTTGCCATTCACGAAGCTATGGAGCAACAAACTATTTCTATTGCTAAAGCGGGTATTACCACCACTTTGAACTCTCGCTGCTCGGTTTTGGCGGCTGCCAATTCCGTGTATGGTCGGTGGGATGATTCAAGAGGAGATGAAAACATCGACTTCATGCCTACTATTCTTTCACGTTTCGATATGATTTATATTGTAAAGGACACGCATGACGTAAAAAGAGATACGGTAATTGAAAAAAAGAACACAAATAGAGTCAAGGTTTTGTTTTATAGACTCTTGCCAAACACGTTATCGATGTTCACGTGCATGCTTCACAGGCGAAGAGCAAAACTGTAGAGACTGTCGTAGATCCAGATCTTGTTTTCGATACTGATGGTTACCTGACACTAAGTACGTTATTTCTGTTGGCTTCAGCTTATATTTCTTTTTCAAGCTTTCTTGAAAAAGTATGTTTCTTATGCTAGAGCCAACTGTGCCCCAAGATTGTCTACTGGTGCAAGTGAGAAGCTCTCAAACAACTATGTGCGAATGAGAAATCCTCCAGTTGATCAGGACCAGCATAGTAAGACTAACAGTCACTGTCAAAAAATTTTTTTATTTGAGAACTTGGCAAAAAAAGTCATAAGAGTGCTATTCCTCTCACAGTTCGTCAGTTGGAAGCTGTCGTTCGTATGAGTGAAAGTCTTGCGAAAATGGAGTTGTTGCCTTTCGCTATGGATAAGCACGTTGATGAAGCTCTCCGCCTGTTCAAGGTGTCTACAATTGAAGCTGCTGCTACAGGAAACTTAGCAGGTACTCAATCTTTTGAATTGTGAATTGAATTTTTTTTTCAGGAATCGAAGGATTCACTTCTGGAGAAGATCAAGATTCTTTGAACCGCATTGAAACTCAACTGAAGAAACGCTTTGCTGTAGGAACCCATGTTTCTGAGCATTTGATTGTCCAAGACTTCGTTTCACGACAGCATTATAAGGAAGCGTTGGTCCGTAAGGTCATCATTGGCTTGATCAGAAGAGGAGATCTTCAACACAAGATGCAGAGAAAAATGCTGTACAGAGTTCGCTAATAATCTGTGAAATTCGATATTAACTTGAATCTTATGCTGGATCTCAATTCGCTATTTATATATAATCACTAACTTTTAACACTGTTTTATGTCGAACAATTAATTACAAGAATAAACCGTATCAAAATACTTCATATCACATGGCTAAAAACTATTTACATTCAATGAAAAGAATTATTGTTGGTAAAACGGGTTGGTTGGGTTTTGCTGTGGAGGAACACCTGCTGGGGGCTGTTGATACTGTTGGGGTGGCATTTGATTTCCGTAGTTAGGCATAGGCGGGAACTGTCCATATCCTTGATTATACTGATTTTGGAACGCTCCAGGGTAAGTTGGATAGTTGTACTGTGGTGGAGGAGCATAATAAGGCTGTGGTTGTCCTGAAATCGCGTGATTCAACATATTAGTTTTAATCTCCTTTAAATGGTGTTAGTCACAAAAAGCACAAACCATAAGGAAATTGTTGTTGGAAGTAAGGTGGCTGTTGTGGAGTTGGTGGCATGAAGTTATTCTGATTGAAATTTGCGTCTCCACTATTGCCTACTAAAGATTAGCTATTCTGTTAAGCACAAAGCACAACACAACTGAATGTTGAGAGATACATACCTTGTGGAGCAGTGGCAGGAGCAGAAGGAGCACCAGTACTTTGGCCTCTAGGCGGTACAGTAGGAGTGGTGGGATTCTGAGGTCTAGGTGGGGGAGGTCTTGGTGGAGGAACAGCAGATGTAGGAGCTAAATCATGAAATACCAGTTGAGCATGAAATCATTTTCTTACCACCACCAGAAACAATATTCTGTTGAACTTGTTTCATGAGATCTTCTTTTTCAGTTTGTCTAGCGAAAACGAAGTCGTTGACTTTTTGTTGAAGACGAACAAGGATAGGTGTTAGATCGTTGTAGAACTGAAAACAAAATTTTTTTCTTTTCTCTGTTGAAAGACAGACCTTCGTCCCTTCTTCCAAGTTTGATTTCAACTCATTGAATACATCGAATCCTGCAGCCAACTGCTTGAGAATTCTTTCTCGTTCCGCGCCACTAGCATTGCCAGACTTCTCTTTGGAAAAGACATTGTTCCATTTCTATTATATTTTCAGAATTAACACAAATCTAATACTAATGAACCAACCTCAACTTCTGCAAGAACGTTTTCTTGTTCTTTGATAGAGGCATTAACCTTTTCCTTCAGAGGGCTGAACAGCTGATTGATTTTTTCCTTGGAGATGCTCTCTTCATTCAATAACTGACTCTCTGACAAAGCTTTCATGAAATCGTTGGCAATATTACAGTCAGTTGATTTCAAATCCTGAAGGAAGCTTTCAAAACACATTCTTTGAAGTATTTTCTACCTTTTCAATGCTTTCACGTGTATTCTTGATGCCCTGCACTTGATTCATCAAGTTTCTCAGCTTCTGAACAGCCTCTGAAGTGCCATGAACAGAATCCGATTGTTGTCCAGGAATGCAAGATTTCAACTCAGGCTGAACAAGGAATTTAAAACTGTTTCTTTCATATAGTAACTAACCTCGCTTTTACTAAGCATTTCTATGGCAGAACTATTTGCATCGAATTTTTCACGAACCATCTTATCGGCATTAGAGGCCGTATGCATGATACCTCTATACTTTCCGATTTCCTGTAACTGGAGTTAGAGAACACTCAACATGTATCATCTCACCTGGATTAAGGGACTGGTTAACTGATCGCTACTCATTCTAGACCACTTTGTCCCAAATTGTCTACGTAGGTTGTCATCGGATTCCTTCTCCTCGGTAAGAGATTTGTTAGTCTTAATAGAGCATGAAAGTTAAAATATAGAGAAATGAACAAACCTCATCTAAAATTTCCTGATTTCTCTTGAACAGTGAGGGCAGATCATTGAACAATCGTAACAGTTCGGAATGTCCTCCCGACTGTTTTACCTGATTAACAAAATGATATTCTTCAATTAAGAGGTTAAACAAACCTTAGAAGATTTCTCTTTGATTGATTCTGGAAGAGTATCAGAACTGATCATGTCATCTAAGGCAGCAGGTAAGTTGAGCGATGCAAGAATTCTGAAGCAGTTTAATCATAGACAAGATTATGAATTCTTGGACTTACCCATTGAGAAGTTGAGTATGTTCTCTGAGACGACCAGATTCCAGATTAACAATTTCTCCTTTACGTCCTTGATAGGCTTGCATAGCATTTAACACTTGCACAGGAACAAGATTGACAAACATATCTGAATAACAACGATTACGTGCAAGGAGTTTTATGAGGATGTGAACCTTTGAATCGTGGCGAAAGTGGAAGAGAGAGTGGCAAAGCTTTGGCAAGAGCTGCACGAGGAACAGCAGGCAGATTTTTAAAATCAGGAACTTTGTCATGGTACTAAAGATAATTGTTAACTACGAAAGTACAAAGTTATCTTACAATGAACTCATTATCCTTTTGAGCACCTTTCAGAGCTTGTTGTACATTCTTCATAGAAGTGTCCAGGAATTCGGATGAGAAATACCTAAGCATCTATCATCATCTGATCTTCTAGCATTGAACTAACTTTTTAGAAATTTCAATTATTTTTAGAGACTCCGTTAATCGGGAAATTTGAGATCCTATCTTGTTTTCTTCTCTATCTAAAGCTCCTTGATGGTAGTGCATTAAGGCTTGATAAGCTAAGGATTTGCCATTTACTGTTGCGGTCCATTCCTATAAGGAGCAATATGAACAAAACATATGAGAGGTTGATAATACCTTCTCCCATATGCCTCGGACAGCATCTTTGGTCATGGCTTTATGTGCATCTGTGTACATATCACTGACATAAGCGGCAATTTTGGCTAAAGCTCCAGGCTTCATATTATCTGAAAACATGAACTCTTTGATTTTATAATGTAAATACTAAACCTTTTGATGCTTTAATGTAAATACATTCCTGAGCTTGGGCGATAAGTAGAGGAACCAAACAGGAAAGAGTTTCGGGTGAAAGATCTGGAGTAGGATCTTGTTGAACTAAGCTGAATATTGTATCTCGAAGTTGAGCAAAAACTCCTGAAAGTTCAAATCATATTACAAGTATGAAAAGCCATTCCAACCAGCAGCTTGTTGGAACAGTTTCGCAGCAGTTTTCATTTCATCATCCGTGTTCATGGGTTGATCAGCAGCAACTTGAGAATAAAGAGATCCACAATTGAAAAGAACGCATCCTCGTTCAAAAGCCCCATCAGCAATAGAGAGTGAAGCCTGAACGACACTGTCAGAGCCGGAAGAGGGTTTATAACTTACAGCCTTACTAAACAATCCTCCTTTATAGAAAGCGTCTCTCCATTTGAATACTACGGGATTCTGAGTTGGAGAAATGACGATTTTGTTCTCAATTGCAACAAGCTGATCATAGTATCTTAGGAAAAATGAAGGTTACGAGCAAAAAGAATCTATACCCACCTTGTTATCACATCTAAACCGGATTGATGACGATCGAGAGGTTGTACAACTGCTCTAGACCTGAGCTTATTCAGTTCCTATGGTAATATGAATGAAAGATATTGAAAATTGCACTCACTTGTACTGCTTCTGTGATTTCAGGTTTGTTATCGTCATTCGTGTTATAAACAGAATCAATATAAGATGCCAATGGAGTTGCAAGGTCAACTTCATTCGTTGTTTTCTGAGGAATCGCCAAGAAATTATACTTCAGCATCTCTGTAATTAAGAAGTGAGTCAAGGAAGGGCTCAGAAAGTCTAGCAGGAGTTTCAAAAGAAGAAATTACAGTTATTATATCGAAGAACAATAGGAAACAATGCTTACAACCTTGAGCAAGGTTGGTGAATCATGTCAATGATGTGGCCCCGCCCACAAAACCATGCAGTGATTGCATAAGAAAGGAGGGCCTCTGTCAAAAGTCGCATGTTTCAAGCAAAAAATTCAATTGTAAAGGATTATCATTTTGAAAATAAATTATGAAAGACCGAAGGTTGAATCATATAAAATTATACTTCTATGGAGAGCTTTACTTTCATTTTAGCAATACTGAAGAAGACATATAATTTAAAGGATCCATGACTAAGTCATATAACAGTGACTGAGTCATTTCAAATACATACAGGTGGTTACGTGTTTCTTTTTTTTTGATTATGCACTATATTTTTGGAGCTCAGAAAATCCAAATCAAAAGACCTTCAAATATTTTAGGGGTTAAGAACCTGTTAGAATTTGTTTTCAACATCCCAAGGGGCACAGTATTGCAAACTACATACTTGATTGTTTCTTGTTACTTGTGAGTTAGTTCAGTTTAGTCACTAAGGTAAGCGAGTGTTAAAGTTCATAATGTTATCAGAGCAGTTAAGTTTTATTGTTAGAACGATAGATATTTTCAAATATAATATTTTCCACCTTGGGTGAGTGGTAAGGCTCTAAGTATTCCGAGTTTGGAACCTAAATCATAGTCATTATAGCTAGTTTAGCGAAGTTCACGAACCACAGTACTCAGCAAGACAGGGAGGAAGAGCAAACCGTGCAGAATGCCTATAAAAACGACGAAAAATACCGTGTAAACAAAGGTTCGAATGATATAAGAGGGAACCAAGGTTAATAAAGAGACTCCGACAATAGTGGAGATGGCCGATTGGAGAATAGGGTCTGTCATCACGACCAGACATTTCTGGAAAAAAAAACGATTTCGAGAGAAGAAAGTTTCTCACACCTACCTCTAAACGTTTCTCTCGTTGCGTCACATAGTGGAAGGTTGTATGAGTAACATAATCCACTTAATTCATAATTTTGTTCGGATTATTGGAAGGTCATACCTGAGAATCCTATACTCATAACGATGGTTATCATAGAAATTATATCCAAGCGGGTTGATACTGCGGATAGGGCTCCAACTACCCCAATGTTGATTGACAAGATTGATATAGCTATGCATAACGCTGAGATCGGACGAGGCACCTTGAGTGAGATTATGAGTTGCAAATAGCTGGAGCTTACCATCAAAATGCAAATGCATAACATGGAGATCATGGCAGTGACAACATTTGTTACTACATTGTAGACTGTGATATACTGCTGATCAACAAGTAGGAAACTCGTGTCGTAAACAAATCCTGTGAAAACGCTTTCTTCTAGTGTTTTGCGCAAATATTTTGCTCGAGGCTATAATTGAACCATTAAACAGTTCGTCTTGGTGTCTCACCCAATCATTTTTCGAAGATATCATCCTGACTCTCAATAAGAACTTTGTCGTTACAATTGAATGGGAGCCAAATCTGGAAAATATTCGAAGGTAGAGTGTTTGGATAAGGTCAGTTACTTTATATCATTTTGATACTTGCTGTTCTTAGGGATCACGAGAAAAGTGTGGAGATGAGACAAAAAGTCATCCGTGGTGTAGCTGACTCCTTGATGAATTTCTTCGAAGTCTTCCAGCCAGAATTCTGCTTTCGATGCGTATGGTGAACTGAGATGATATAATTAAAAACTTTTATGTAATAAGTGCAAACCTCGACATATCATTATACAGATTCAGAAGGTTCTGTCTCACATCTGGTTTCCATAAAGTCAAGTTTTCCGTGTGAATGGTTGTGAAACAGTATTGTCCATAGTCATTGAAAAATTCTTCCTGCAACCGCAGTTCCTTCGTGACGTAGGATTCATCAGGTGCTAAAAGTTTCAAATCCAATCCTAGAGGTAGTCCTAAGGCATAATAGATAGAGGTGAGCAGGTATATGATATATACGACTAAGATAAATAGTTTGAAAATGAGCTTTTCAGCTAAACTGGCTAAAAGACAGCCTAGAGGGATTGAAGGCAGAGATCTCGAAGCAAAAGCTTCTTCGTTTGTTGAAGCTGAAACGCATTGTGTTATATGTGCCTTTCTTTGGTGAACTCAACGCATTTTTTTGTATTTCACACAACAAAGTAGAGAATGCCTGCGAGAAACTTCTCGACGACAGCATAGAACCATCAGAGCATTGAAGAATGTCACTTGAAAGAAGAACATGAAGAGAATTGCCATAGCACAGTAAGTGCAGAAAATGCCTGAAACGTCAAGCCTTGCTTCTATTGTGAAAAGCAACATACGGACAGCAAAGAAATCAGAGATACTACCAATTGAGAAGGATAAACCGTCTGTTAAGGATGTCAAAAACAAAGAAGATGCTGTCTCAGTTAGTGCTTTTACGAATCTTAAGTTGCATCATTATCAAGTTCTGATGAATGTAGTTTGAACCTCTTTTCAACATCAACCTCTTCTTGTTCCAGACGCCAACTCTTTAACATCAAGAACATGTTATCTGTTCCAATTGCTGAAAGATTACTGTCAATGTGGCAACCAATACCATAACTTACAAATGACCAAAAAAGGCATAATGAACACTAGAGGTAAGAATGGAAACCCTATGTATATCAGGAACGATGTGCTAGCTATGGTTGCAATGGTAGCATTTAGCAGAGCAAAAAATCCTATCCATGGCTGAGACCTTCAGGTAAACTGGCTATATTACGTTTCGAAAAGATTATGTCCTACCTGACAGGGTTGCTAGATGAGCATATAATCATACAGAAAACAATCAGAACTACAACTGTCCAGGGCATGTAAGGGAATAGTAACTGAATGAAGCTCTGTATTCGTGTCTATTGGAATGTCTCACTTCACTATTTCTCTCCATTTCTTTCGCAAGACTAATGGATGATGAAAAATACAGCTTACGACTCGTGTTGTAGCTTTTCATTTGGGAAAGAAACTGCTGCAACCATCTTAAAATAGTCTAATCAGATATATTATACATATTGCAAATTACGATACGGCATCTGGTCCAACATTGAGCATGTACGGTAGGCGAACAGCTTTTGCTTTTAAGATTTTTGAGTTCAGGTCCGTGGTCTGAAAAATGAAAGAAACTCAGTCAATATAGCTTATATGTACTTTTTCGGTGGTTACTCCTCCGAAAATTGCAGCGTTATCGATAGTGGTATCCGCGAACGTCAGCATAGGATAATGCAAGAAGAATTGAATAGTGAAGAGCTGAAAGCAGTAATTTTGTTCTTTTTAATAATCCTCGAGCATACTGCTGATTCATCCTCCAGTGCAAAAAGAAATGGATGCAAGATGCACGCGGAATCGGCAGTTTCTTTAGCACAGACATCCTCGAATGATATACCGTCTGGAGTCTACATAATCTTGGTTTCGAAACTCAAATGGTTCACAATCTATACCTTAACATTGAGCACAAAACGGTGAAGACGGGATAATTCTAGAATACTGTTTGTTGACAGTATGTTATCGTCATCTACAAGCTCGGCAAATGCAAAGTTAGTTCCGAACATGCTGTATGTATCACGTTGAGGATCTTTAGGAGGAAATATTTCCATCAGCTTAAATGAACGAAGAGAATCTGACGAGAGGTGTAGTTATCACTCACTCTTTTCAGGTCATTCAAGCTCTGCATCTGGTCTGGTAGAAAAACTTGTAAAGTTTCATTTGTGGTCACCAAATGGAAATCCATCGCTGTGATAGTCACTGTAATAAGAATGATAATGGTTGCTTACAAGTCTCTTATAACCTAGAACAGTCGATATGATAGGTGGAATAATCAGAAAGGGTAACGGCCAACGGACAACGATTGAGGTTTGCCACTAAATTCCAGAAGAATTGTTTAATTAAACATTAGGTAATTGAACATACCTGGAAGAATTGGGAAACTATGGCCTGGAAACTCATAACCGACTGTCCTTCACTCTCAATGCGCTGAACATTACTTTCTCGACCTTGCCTCTCGATCCAGGTTTCTTTTCCTTCAACTTGCCGAGTATAAGGTTGACATAGTTATTCTTGCTCCACTTTCTATTATTGTTCTTTCTAAGAAAACTTCTGCTTTCAGTCTCCGATTAAAACTCATGAAAATTGAGCTATTACCATGCGTTCAATTCTGAAACCTATGGAGAGGGTTACGTACATCTTCAGGTTGGGATGTTTATGAGGTTTTTCTCGTGTTGTTAATTTTGAAACAATTTTTTCTCTCACTCGATTCTTCTCTTAGATTCTTTTTGTGAAGAGATAAGGTTGTTTGAAACCCTCCATAGTCACCAGTAGATTTTTCCTGTTAAGTGTTAAATGTCTTTTCAAATAACTGAGAATAATCTTTATTGTATGCAGTTCAGTGTTCTCTTGGGAGTCTGGGTTAATTGCTAGCAGTGAGGCTGTGCAGTTTCTGTCTTCCTCCTATGACCGCTCATACAATATCCATTCTTTGCATGTACTATGGTTGACCCGATTGGAAATGGTTCTCGACACCGAAGCAGCAACCGTTCATGCCTTGCCCCGGATCGTTATTACTCTGTATATTGAACGTGTACTTTGATAGAACTTCATAGAACTATCCCAATTGATTTCTCATTTGCTCTTCATCGATTGTTTTTCTCAATTTCTTTGAGTTGTATCGAAGAGTATTCAATGCTCCAGTTCCAGCTTTCGCTTTCTTCATTGATACCTAATTTGTGTTTCTACTCACCGCAATTGTAATGTGCCCTCAAATCTTTTTATTTTTTTATTTTCTTACTCGATCTGTATTGCCCTTGTAAGAGTACACTTGTTCAGACACTCAGTTTTGAAATCAAATTTAGCTTTTCGGAATCCTGAAAGGTGGCCTGACAGGTTTGGCTGAGGTTATTGGTTCAATTAGTTAATTTTTTTCTTTTTCTTTTGTACGATTTGTTAAGCTCTGGGACCCTTGTTCCTCCACCTGTGTAGCTGGAAATGAATCGGAGCTCATATCTCGAAAGGCAAATCACTTCTTGCTCGGCACCTTCGTTGCTGCACATAGAGATTCCAAGATCAATTTGGTTTCATGATACGCGACTCTAGAAGTTTTTAGTGAAACGAGTTCCGAATCTGTTATATCATTTTGAATCCATTTTCGTTTCAGTCCGTTCATTGGCAGCTACTCATGTTCATCATCAAACCTATTGTTCATGACCATCCAAGGGACTTGGAAATTAACGTAGGACCAAACGCCTCCTAATTCTTTTAAATTTTGTTTTCAGTTTATCAAGAAGTGTTCACCGCTTCCTTGTCCTGAATGGATTCGATGAAGTGAATACGTAGCAGGTAAGAATGAAAGTTCAGTAAGAGCTAATCATATTTTCTCAGATTCGAAGGCCGGAAAGGAATCTGTTACAGCTTCAAGGAGGATAAGATCAACGACGATGGAGGACAAGGATACCCCTTTCCCATCCCTCCCAGTGCTACCGAAGCCTGAGGGTCCCAGACTTACCGACC